CCCATGAGGTCATAAAGGTGGTCATGTACCTGCTCATAAATATGCGGAACATGACCAGGTCATATTGCGCATGGTATTCCATGATGGAACAATGCATTCCATGACCACCCTGGCCCATGTTTTGCACTCATTCCATGAGTCGTACACTGCATTCCATGACCACCCTGGCCCATGTTTTGCTTGGTTTACATGACTCGTACACTGCATTCCATGACCACATTGGCACATGTTTTACATTGTTTACACGAGTCATACACTGCACTCCATGACCACCCCTGGCCCATGTTTTGCACACATCCCAGAAGTTGTTCACTGTTGTTGTATTCCGCTTCTTAAATCTGGGTCCAAACTGATACATTTTTCTGTCTAATTTTTCCTTTCTCGCTTGGCGCAGTTACTGGACAAGTTCGCTGGAACTAACTGAATTCCAAATGCCTATTTTGCCGCTTTTCTGTCAGATCTTTATGGCTCCGACCTCTGGGTCAGACGGCGAGCGGGAAGCTGTCATGGATGCCTACAAGTAAATGCCGCCTCAGGCGGAAGTCCATACTTGCAGAAGTATGGGCGGGGGTCGTAGCACAGGCTACGACTGGGACGTGGTCCCTGGCTCGCGGAGCCCCGTCATCGATTGGAAGCATGGATCAACGGTATGCCATTCCGGACTGGACCGCGCCTTTTCGGAATTGGCTGTACGATTCATGGGATGGCCGCATCCTCCGCTATTTAAGCGGGCGAAACTCTTCCAAATCGGTGTCTTCCGACGCCACCATCCAGTTGTGGTTTAGTAAGATACAACAAGTCTGGTATCGAGACGGTTCCTCCCGGGGCCTCTCGCATTTCTGAAATTTTCAAGATCCCCCTTTTGCCATCAAGATCCCCACTTCTACCGGCGCGCGGATGGAGGTCGACGACGTCACCGGACCTTTGGCTACAATCGTCGACGCTCTTGGCGATGCTGTCCGTGAAGTCGCTGCCGCCGGTCTGTAAACTACTTTAGCAAATCTGTTTGCTGACTTTTTCTAGGATTTTGGGTTAATAGCGGTAAGACTGCTGCAGGCTCCGAACCGCCTGTTCCTTCGGCGGTCCCTGCCCTTTGCCGGAGGCTCTGTCAAGAGCTTCGTAGCACCCGTTCGGTGCTAGAACAGACTTCCAGAAAAATTGACAGTTCGCTTTACTTGGGTACGCGGTCTGCCTGATCTGGGTCAGGATAGTGGAAATGGAGCAGTCTAGGCGAAGTCGTTGGGGATTGCCCTCCACTATCAATGGAACTGTCCCGCCGCCGCCTATTGCCCGGAATAACAGTAACCAATTAA